ATATATTTCTATTTTGAAAATTCTAAACAAGCTCTATCTTAATAATTATTTTCATCTATTCAAATAAGAGATGACATTTAACATTGAGTTGTGTGACATCGTATGATCTTACATGTCAGTCAACGCTTTAACAAATTATCACCCAAGGGGGGGTCCCCTTTGAATAAAGATCGCTACATTATTGATTTATGATTGCACTTTTCCTTAAAAGACGGTCAAGAAACTCTGATAATATAGAATTAAAACTAAACGCATTGAATATTTTAATCCTTAGTTTGAAAGTTTTAGGATGCTACATATTAATGGCTTTATCTAAAATTTATTTCCAGACTGGCAACGCCTCAGACAACTTCTGATGTTTTAAGACTTCTTACAAAACTATACTGCATTCTGTGGATTACTTCTACTTGTTTATCCGTTGCTTGAATAATTTATTGCAGAATAAAGCCTTTCTAGGATTTATAATGATATTAGCACAACAAGACCTCTGACAAATAATATGCAGGATATATTTATTAAAGCATGACGTGTGACAGATTGTCTCTCGGTTCCACACACAGCTCTCAGCAATACACGATTTACAATGTCTTTTTTTTCCATCAACCAAGAAATATTATATATTATTATTTTTCCTACAAATTCCTTAATTTGTTATGATAAAGATTACGAATTTTAAGAGCGGGAAATACATTTTATATTATGCATTTTGTACATCTTTAATTTATCTTGTAGTTTTCAACGTGTTAGATATCAGCTTAGTTTACTAGAACTTCCATTATGCAGGAATACAATAATAACTATACGATGTAGAATAGAATCTACAAATTCAAAAAATATTTGATTTATGCATTGATATAATCACTTATTCATTCAACCAGTTGAATACTATTCCAGCAGCGTTCACGGGGCTTATTTTTCTATCTATGTTACTCACCACTGTAACAGGCTGTTTAGTCATTCGAGCTACATGCTCATTTAACTTCAAAAGAGACCACATTTCACAGCAGCTTTCGGCCCAAATTTTACGTGGGATTCAGTACTAGTGGCCTAGAATTATCAGTAAGCGGTAGAATAATCTTGAAGTCGATGTATTTATTCATAACGTCTCTTGTTCAGCCAAGCATGATTCCAACTATATCTTTATACATATTTATCGTTTGACGTCACAGCATGTGCTTTTTGATGCGTAAATGACCAGTCTGTCTGTCTGTCTGTCCGTCCGTCCGTCTGTATGGCGACTTAAATATTTTCAAATGAAATTTATATTTTGATAATTTACACACGATTTACGCTTATTAGCACATACACGACAAAACGTGAGAGTCTATTGAAGCAGCTTTTGATTACAATGGTAGTTTTCGATTGGAAATGATGTGTATTTTCTAAGTTAAAGCCCACAGAAAGAAGTCTAATTAACAATAACTGACGTGGACGTCATGGCGGGAAGATAGCTAGCCAGGTTTTTAACAGCTGGTGGTACGTCCATAGATGGAAAAACAGTGATAATAATAATAACAATAATCTATTGAGTATTTCACAAAGTTTCAATGCTTTATATATCTTATTAAGAAATAAAATATATAATACAGGTYAGACAAAATGTACACTGTTACAAAAAATATTCTCTGATGCTCTGATGAAGATAAATAAACTGAATACGATTAATTGCTAAGTGCTGATAATGGTGATGATGATGCGGATGATGTTGCT